CCAACCCTCTACAACATATTGCTTAGTTTTGGCAAAGTGAGATTTGGTTCTTCAATACTAAAATTCACTTTGAAGTGATTAAAGGATTGAGGAAGTGAAACAAGAATTGCATAAACTTTTGATTCATTATCCAGCTCGGCTTCCAAGGATTTTAATTCATTTATGTACCCTATCATCTTATGAACGTGGGCCTGAACGGGTGTACCTTAAACCATCTTGGTGTTTATCAAACTGCTTATAGCATTTTGACGTGCAGTACGATTATGTTCTTCGTACAAAGCCTTAAGGGTTTCCAAGATCTCCTTGCAAGTCTTGTTTCCTTCATGCTGTTATTGGCCTTCTTGTTTTGATGATAATTTAACAAACAATTTATGACTAATATTGGTTTCAATATTTTGGTTTTGTGTTGTTTAGTATATACATGAAAATGAGCTACATTGATATTGAAACCTAGACAAATCAAGTCAACCAATCAAGTTCAAGCTTCATATGATTCTCTCTTGGTATACTTAGTATAGGTTTATATGTAATGTGTGCTAATTCTTCAAGCTCAAATTTTACACACACATTTATTTGTAAAATTTCTCAAATCATAGGTGTTTTTATGCAAAATAGAGATTAACATGCCTTAGACTATACAAACATTATAAACATCTTTTGTTGAGTCCATAAATATATTACACAAGTTTTCAAAACTTGATTTGAGCAAAATATCAAAATTAACATGTTTATGAACACATGTATTTTAGTGTTTTTGAATATTTCTAAGATTTCACAAATGGTAAGTGCAAATTGAAAAATTTCTTTTCCAACATGTTCATATTTATGTTTATGAACTTTTTCTAAAGTTTCAAATTTTTTAGAATTTATTTACTATTTTTAAATAACATTTGAAATTCATTTTCAAAATTCAAAATAGGCTGAAAAACTGTTATCAGTCGACTGATGCATATTATCAGTCGACTGATGAAACTGGCTAGAATCATCAAAAGTTTTTTTTTTATGCCTAATAAACTATCAGTCAACTGATAAACTCATCAGTCAACTGATGATGTCTTCAGTCGACCGATGAGTTGCTAGTTGCCTGTAACGGTCAGCTCATCAGTCGACTGATGAACAATATCAGTTGACTGACGAATAATATCAGTCGACTGATGGCCCAACGACTAGTTTTTTCCAGCTTTCTGTTTTCTTATCCTGTTATTGGGTTTTCTTGGTTTTTGGGCTGTGGTTTTTATCCTATAAATACCCCTTATTGTTACACTTCAAAGATTATTAAAAAGAGGTTTTTAACAAGAGTTTTTAAAAAGTTTAAAAGTTTGTTTAAGTTTCTTCTCAAGTTTTGGTGCTTGTTTACAAAGAGAAAGCTTACATTGTCAATTGAGGAATTCATCCTTAATCTTTCATCATCTACTCTTTGCGTTTATAGAGAAGTTTCCCTAACTCAATTATCTAGCATTTTATCCTTGAATTTCATATCTATTTTATTGCTAGTTCTTTTTGAGTTAGATTTTATTTATACTCATTTTATCACATACATCCCTATTTGAGCTTTTAGTATTTTATATATAATATATTGGGTTGTGGGATTGTGATATTGTGAGAGTGAGCTTACATTGAGTTCCCATCTATTGTAGAGAACAAATCTTGTATTTAAGCCTTATTGTGAGTTACACATTGTATTACACTTATACACTGAGAGGAGTGGTTGGTGAGAGACGGGGTCAATTCCAAGAGGAGTGGTATCGGTTGTAAAGTTTAGAGAGAGGTTGTAAATCCGAGCACTTGAGGAAGAGGACACGAGCTAGGCCAACACTTAGAGGATGTAAAGTTTGTATACATTGTGCGTGTTGTAAACGTTTGTCGGTAAGCGTTAAAAACCGATTGTAAATATTTTGGGTGAACGTTGAAAACCCATCATGATAGTGGATTCTCCCTGAGAGTGAGGAGCGGAGACATAGGTCGGAAGGACCAAACTCCGTGATCATATTATTGTGTTTAGATTGCTCTTTGTGTCCACTATTTATTTATATCGTTTCTTGTTTATTTTCCCTTTGCATATATATCCTTGATTTAATCCAATAGAATACCTATCTTGCTAGTGTATATTTATTAATAAGTTTTAATTGGCATTAAATCGGATTAGATTAGTATTCACCCTATTAACCCCCCCTCTAGGGTGCTAACAATTGGTATTAGAGCTTGGTGCTCTTTGATTTAAGGTTTAATCGCCTTGAGTTAAAGATCCAAGCTTCCGTATTTTTGCTAATCTTGTTTTAATAATTCTCATCTTGCTTGCATAATATATCATGGACATGCACGGTGCACCTAGCCTAGGTTATAGTATTAATGTTGCTCCTAAATTAGATAATTTCTCCTATGCTCAATGATGTGTTAGATTTAAATTATTTGTTAAATCTAGACATTTTGATTTGTGAAAAATAATTGATTGTGCTTATATTGTACCCACTTTGGAGAAATCCAAGTACAGTAAAAATGATCAAAAAATATTTACCATGAGCAAACTTTTATTAGAATTTTTACATAATGTGTTTAATTTATCTTTTTCTAATAAGCTTGATTCTTTTGATAGTGCTTATACATTGTGGAAACTTATAGAAGCAAATCAAGGGAATTTGGAAGCGATCCAACAAGCTTTTGAGGATTCCGCTTCTAGTTCATATGGAGCCTCATTTTCATACACACGACCACTAGGCGATAGCCCTAGTGAGGTATGTTAGTCCGATAATGAAAATGATCTTACTATTAATTAACTCACACATGGTTATGAATTATTGATGCATGATTATAAAAAATTACAACGCAGCTTTATTAACTAGAAAAACAAGCATGTTGAATTGAAATCCACTCATGAAACACTAGCCAATAAGTTTGATGTCATTGCAAATGAAAATGTATATCTTAAAGAAAGCAATGAAAAACTAAAATTGGAAAATGCTAGTTTGTTTCATGATAAATGTAATGCCACATTAGAAGTTGAGAACATTAGAAAAGAACTTAATTCTTTTATAAATGATAATGTATGTTCCACTTCTAATAACAATGCTTATGTGAAAAATAATGAGTTGAATCATGTTAAAATAGAATATCCACTTTAGATTCAATATTAAAAACTTGTGTTGTTAATAACAACAAGCTTATGGACTTATGTGCAAAGTCCAGTGCAAATTCTTCTAAGAAACCTACACACTATGCACATATGTATAACAAGATTTATAAGTGTTTCATTTGCGATCGTAAAGTCCATATTGCTAAATTTTGTTATAATGCACAAAAGCCTATCAAGTCTAATCATGTTTGTGCATCCCATCAAGCTTCATCTTCACATGTACACACACTTAATGATCATCATAAACATGCTCATGTATACAAATATGATTTTTATGGTTGTTTTGGTCATTTGACCAAATTCTGTTTTGATTTGACGAAAGTTTTTCGGTTGCAAAATAATTTTAAAGAAAAATCTATTTTTGCAAATGATTTTCGTGTACCACCATTTAGTCAATACAAACCTTTTAGACTGTTTCATTGCACTCATTGCAATCAAAATGACCATCTATATGAATTTTGTTTTGATTGTGTCCGTGCACCATATATGCCCAAAAGGAATCATAACTGTAGGGTTTTGAACTTTAATGATAGGGGTCATGTCTCTAGACTCTTCGGTGCCAAGAGTAATTGTGTACCAAAATAAGTTTGATCTTTGAGAACAAATTTTTTAAATTTTAGTTTTTCATGTTCTTAAAGATGATTTTTATTTAAGATTTTTGCAAACAATTTTTAAAATCTTTAAAATAAAGTATTTTAAAATATATATACATTTTATATTATTGTTAAATTAAAATATTTTTTGGATTTTCAAAACCATAGTTCATGTTTCTCATGTGTTTTATAGTCTTGGTTTGAACTATATTGTTTTTGATTCATTTTGATGTGAACGATGTGTTTGTGCTTTATGAGATCATTGTAAAATACTTTTTTGATGATATTTATGTATTTGTGCTTATGGATTATCAATTAGTGTTTTATAATGTATTCTTTATGCGGTTTGATCAAATTTGTCTAAGAAAGATTTCCTTTTGTTGATCAAACGTCTTTTTTTTAAAACATACTTTGTTTTGAGTTTATATATGAGAGGTTAATTTTTTGAGCAACCCCCCGGATGTATTAATTCTTTGTTTGAAATTATGTTTACCGGGCATTCATATAGGTTGAAACAAGCTTTTCTTGTTTTTGTCGAAAATGAGTATATTGATCTTTTATGTATTTATCCAAAGCATACTAATATTTGATCTTAATGGATAAAACTTATAAATATTTCGATAAATTTTCTTTGTAATCATGTATTTAGGAAAGATGTGTCCATTATTTATATTGATACAAAATATCCTTTTTAGTGGACATCATTGCCTAACCTCTTTGCTTAGAGATTTTGTTTTGGTGATTTGAGCATGTTTATCATTTGAATCATGTATTTGCTCAATCATCTTATTTTTTGTTAAAATGATACTTTATGTTTTTTCATGAACAAGGTTTTGGTTTTTATAAGTTTTCATAAACTTATACTTTGTTTTTATGTATTGAGACATCATTCTCATAATAATATATTTATATATGTTCTCAATCAATCATAATTTATTGTTTCATAACTTATAAAATTTCTTTTGGATTTATTAACAAATTATTTGATTCTTGATTTTTGATTTTTAAACCTTCGATTTTCATTTTTGGGAATTTATTGTTTTTGATATATATCCTATGGATATATATTTATGTTTTAGACTCTTGTGACTTTTTTCTTAATGATACATATATGTACGTGGTAACTTGATCTTCTTTAATGTGAGTTTTATTTAGGATATTCTATATCAATGCTTACTCACATTTATTTGCCATGCTCATCATTGCATATTTTTTATGGCTTTTAAATAAGGGGAGAATTCCCTATTTCTATATTTCTCACCTGTGCTTACATGTAGGGGGAGCTTTTAGCTCTCATTGTGTATTTTCCTCCATTTTTGATGTTGCCAAAGGGGAAGAGAAATGTGAGGTATATAGTATGTATTTTTTTGAGCTTTATTGATTTTATATGTAAATAGTTTGTCATCATAAAAAAGGTGGAGATTGTTGGCCTTCTTGTTTTGATGGTGATTTAACAAATAATTTATGACTAATATTGGTTTTAGTATTTTGGTTTTGTGCTGTTTAGTATACACATGAAAATGAGCTACATTGATATTGAAACCTAGACAAATCAAGTCAACCAATCAAGTTCAAGCTTCAGAAGATTCTATCTTGGTATACTTAGTATAGGTTTATATAATGTGTGCAAATTCTACAAGCTCAAATTTATGGTTTTTGTATATATATAGTTATATATATACATATATGTTTTGGTTTGATAGTTTTCAAGTTTTACTATGAAACAATTGAATATAATTAGAAAACATATTTTTGTTTCATACTCATATGCATATATATGATTTCATCAATATCAATTTTAGTTAGTTAAATGAAATCATGTTTTAGTGCATTATATGTGTATTTTGATAAAATACTACATTCATTGTTTATAGACTTCATAACAATAGTTTACATCTTTCTTCAAGTCTATAAAATCATTTTGTAAAGTTTCAAAAGTTGGTTTAGCCAAAATGTCAAAATTCACATGTTTCCATTTTCGTGTTTTGGACTATTTTGCAAAATGATGATTTTTCACAAATGGGAAATGCAATTTGGAAAATTCTTTTTGTAACATGTTTGTTTTCATGTTTATATACATTTCCTAAAGTTTCATTATTTTTGGACTTCATTTGTTATTTTTAAACATATTTTCAAAAGTCTTAAAAATCTGTTTTAATATCAGTTTTCTGCTGTGTCAGTCTTCGGTCGACCGCACCGGTCGACCACTTATTTGTTCTTTCGTTAGCATGCAGCAGAGAGTTGGTCAGTCGACCGATGCGGTCGACCAAGAGCTTTCTTTGGTCGACCGCACCGGTCGACCGACAATTGTCCAGAACAGTTCTTCGTGCTTTTGGTCTCCGTCGGTCGACCGAAATTTCTGCCGGTCGACCGACAATAGATCCGTTGCTTTCCCAACGGCTATTTCCTGAACTGATTTGCTGGGGCTGTTTCTGTCTTTTGTTTGGACTTTGGCTGAGATTTAGAGTGGGTATAAATACCCTATTGCTGCTCTCTTTCAAGTCAACAAAAAGAAATGTTTTAAACAAGTTTAAAGAGTTTTAAACAAAGGTTTTAAGTGTGTTTTAGTGTTTGTTTGGTTTGAAGATTGTTTTCACAAGTGGAGGAGATCATCTTCTTGTTTGGGCTCCAATCTCCATCTCTCCATCTTGTCATCTATTGGAGAAGTTTTCTAAACTCTATCTAGCTTTACATTTGCTTAGTTATTTGATTATCATTCTTTAAAGCTAGTTTTTATATTAAGTTTAGATTTAATTATATTATCTCATCGTTACACACACCCACTTGAGCTTATTGTATTTGAATACATAGTATATTAGGGTTGTGAGAGATTGTAACATTGAGTTTGTGCTTAATTGAGTTCTCATCTATTGTAGAGAACAAATTTATATTTGTTACATTGTGAGTGGTGTAAGGTTTTCGGTGAGTTAGAAAACCGAGTATGTTGTGAAGTTTTCGGTGAACTAGAAAACCGAGTGTGACGAGTGGACGTTGATCGGTGATCGTTGAAAACTGACATAGTGTGGTTGTAAACGTTATTCGGGTGAGCGTAGAAAACCCGGTTGTGATAGTGGATTTCTCCCCGGGAGTGGGGAGCGGAGACGTAGGACGGAAGGTCCGAACTCCGTGATCATATTGCTTGTTTGAGTTTGTCTTTGGCGTCATTTATATTTATGTTCATATCTTATATCGCCATTGTAATTAGCTCATTATCTATATCATCCACTATCTTGTTTAGATTGTTTACCCCTTGTGTTAGTTTACATATCCTATACATATATCATATTGTATATCTCTTTGATAGGATATATCATCTTGTGTTAGTTTATATATCCTTGCATATATATATAATTCATCATATAGGATATATCTCATTGTTTATATTGCATATTCTTGCACATAACTCTTTGTATATCTATCTTGCAAGAATATATTTATTAATTAGTTTTAATTGGCATTTAATCGGATTAGATTAGCATAAGACCCTAATCACCCCCCCTCTAGGGTCTAACAATTGGTATCAGAGCTTGGTGCTCTTTGATTTAAGGTCTAATCGCCTTGAGTTAAAGATCCAAGTTAGCTTATTATGCTAATCTAATTTTGAGCTAAGTGGAATAAGAATGATCATCGTATGTTTACAATGAACAATATTTTGTTAGAATATTTGCTAAATGCTTTTAATTCATATATGTCTAACAAGTTTGTTCATTTTGATAGTGCTTACAAACTTTGGAAATTTATAGAAGCATATCAAGGGGACTTGGAGGCGATCCGACAAACTTTGGAGGATCCGACTTCAAGTTCATACGGAGCTTCATGCACACGGCCACTAGGCGATAACCCTAGTGACGTTTGCGAGTTCGAAACCATTAATGATTTACCTAATGATGAACTTTCTTGTGCTAGTGAAAAATTGTTACATGCCTTTAACAAATTGCATAAAGATTTTGTTGATTTACAATGCAAGCATGATAATTTAAAATCCGATCATGAGAAGCAAGTGTCCAAATTTAATGTCATTGAAAATGAAAATACTATGCTTAAAGAAAGCAATGACTTATTAAATTTGGAAAATGAAAATTTGATCTCATCTATTGCTAGCCTATCTCATGCTAAGATTGATGCCATGTTAGAAGTAGAGAACATAAAGAATGATACAGCTTCTTTTATAAATAACTATTTATGTTCTACTTCTAAAAATGCATATGTGCCTAAAAATGAAGATTTGAATATTATGAAAAATAGTATTTCATCTTTAGATTCAACTTTGAAAATATGCATTAATAATCATAAGAGGCTTATGGACATGTGTGCCAAAACTAAGTCAAAATCATCCACTCATTATAGTGTTCTATATGCGGCCGTCAAGGTCATTTAGCTAAGTTTTGTTATGATGCACACAAACATAAAAATGTCAATGCTCCTTGTGCATCTCATGTAGCTTCTTCATCACTTACACATTCACATGCTCATTCTCACAAAGCTCATCATAAGCATGCTAGTGTGTTCAAGTGTGATCATTGTGGTCGTTTTGATCATTTAGCCAAATATTGCTTTGATTTGAAAAGAAAATCTCATTTGACAAATGCTTCCAATAGACCACATGTTTTTAAATGTGATGTTTGTGGTAGGTTTGGACATCTTGTTAAATTTTGTTTTGATATACAAAAAGCTTCAAAACTACAATATGTTCCAAATAGACCATTGTTTAAGAATGTTTCTCATTTGCAAAATAATTTTAAAAGAAAATCTTTATTTGCAAATGATTCCCGTGCACGAGCTAATGGTCCACAAAAACAAATTGATCTCTTTCATTACACAAATTGCAATCGGAAGGGTCATTTGAATGAATATTGTTTTGACCATGTTAGTGCACCATATGTGTCTAAGAGGGTTATAACCCTAGGGCTTTGAGCTTAAATGATAGGGGTCATGTCCCTAAATCTTTTGGTACCAAGAGTTCTTGGGTACCAAAACAAATTTGATTTTCAAACTAAGAATTTTAATGTTTTTATCCTTCTTTATCTTGGTTTTGAAAATTATGCTTTGAAATCTTTTTATATGAAAACAATTTATAATTGATAAAATCTTTTGTTTTCATGATTATTTGTTTTGTTTTGTATAACCCTTCGGATTTATTGGGTGTTTATTCCCAAATCTTGTTTACCGGGTGCTAAAATGTTTATATGAGTTGTTACTAGCTCAAGAGCTAGATATGGTTGCCTCTCATGATTTTTTTTTGAATCAATGATGATTTGGTCATACGTTTTTGGATTTAAACTTTGATTTATGATTTCTTTTGGTTGATTTGTTTTCATTTGAAAACTTTTTGCATGATTCTCATGTTTCTCTTCTTTTGATTTCATAAATCTACCTCTACAAAGGGTTTTTATGTTCTTTGATATGAGAAAGTATTTTTTATCTTGATATATTTATATATGTTCTCATTATCTCTTGAATGTGAGTGATTTTTGGCATATTATTTATGCTTGCTCACATGTTTGCCATGATCTTTTATTGCTTATATTTCATATGGCTTTTTGATAGGGGGAGCTATTCCCTATACGTGCTTTGTACTCACCCATGCTTATTGATAGGGGGAGCTTTCGCTCTCTTCATACCTTTGTCCCCCTTTTGATGTTGTCAAAGGGGGAGAAATATTGTGAGTATATTTTTTCTTGTTTTTATGCATGTGAATTATAAATTATATATTCATTTACTTCATGCATACATTTCTTTTTGTAAATTGTTTGTCATCATCAAAAAGGGGGATATTGTTGGCCTTCTTGTTTTGATGATGTTTAATAAACAATTTACTTCTAATGTTGTTTGTCTAGTATTTGTGTTTATTTATTTATTATAGACAAACAACGAAGTTGGAGGATGGATGGAATCGAGCCTTAACGATCATATCAAATGGAGGTTGGCGGAATTGTGGAGTGAAGCAACGTCAATTCTTTTGTCCCCTTTTTGATGTTGTCAAAAGGGGAGAAATATTGTGAGTATATTCTTTTTGTTTATATGCATGTTACATTATACTTTGTATATTCATTTCCTCTCATGCATATATCCTTTTTTGTAAATTGTTTGTCATCATCAAAAAATGGGAGATTGTTGGCCTCTTTGTTTTGATGATGTTTAACAAACAATTTATCACTAATGTTGTTTGTCTAGTGTTGGTATATTTCTATTTATTATAGACAAACAACGTGTTGGAGGATGGATGGAATAGAGCTTCAATGATCATATCCAAAGGAGGTTGGCGGAATGTCGGTGAAGCTTATGAAATTCTAGTTCAAGATCCAAGTTCAGCTTCATCCGCAACGTGTACCAAGTTGAGCTACAATG